GCCACTACATCTTAACAATCAACTGTAAAATTCTCTGTTTATAAACTCAACATCTCAACTTGCAACCCTTGTGGAATGGGAAATCTAGTACACTGGATTTCCTCTGGTTTATTAAGCCTGAGTTTCCTCCTGCCATCACTTGAAAAAGGAGAGAAAGAAAACTCTCCCACAGGGAAATACCTACCTAAGACATCTGCTACAGCAACTGCCAGTCTGTCTAAAAGGACTCCAGAATTGGGAGATGTAAGAAATAAAGTCTTGTTTTCAACAGCAGATGAGACTGCCTACCACACTGACTAATAGTTTCACATTATTTCCTTGTACTCCCCATACGCTTATACCCATCTGTTGTGTTTTGTCTTACAGATTTTAAGCTTCTGGAGACAGAAACCCTCTTTTTGTTGTGCCTGTTCAAAGCCTAAGCACAATAGGCTCCTGGTCTATGACAACAGCACTTATGTGCAATGGTAATACAAACAGGAAGGTAGCTGAAATCAGGACACGGGGTAAAAGCCAACAGTTTCTGACTTTCAACAGCTTGCAACACTGCAGGAGTCCTAGTCAGAACTATCTGCAAGGTCATACAACGGCCAAGCATATCAAATACAAATCAGAGCTGGAAAGCAAAATTATTCTAGAGAGGGCCTTTTGTTGCAGCTTCTTCTCAAAGAATCAAAAAATGATGAACCTTAAATAGGCACAGGATGAAGGTCCTCTTAGCACAAACAGGCAAGAAAACTGCACACTCAGTCTAAAGCTGCAATTTATTGAAGGACCACATACTGAAACACAAATACTTACTAAAGCCTTGGTTCCACTTAGCACATCCAGAAACAGCTGCTGATGGACTGCAGAATCAGTCAGATGCATTATATCTGCCTACGGAAACCAATGACAGAACTCAGATTAATCATATGCAACAGTAAAAGCTAAATTGTATTTCCCATCCAGCATGAACCCTACTGTTTTTATGAAAATAGAAACTGTCACTGATAGTTGTTATTGGCAAAAATCAGCACTTCAGTGACTGGTAACTGGGATCAATATATACATCAGGAAACTTTATCATTTTATCAATATCCATTTAATTACTGAGAGCAGTAATTACTGGAGGCAGACAGTATTACCGGCTTCCTTTACACTCCTTTAAAAATAGTTTACCATTTCCTCACCTCTTCGCACACACAATATGCTAGTTGTGATCAGTCAGTAAAATAAAACCCAGACAGGTAATTTAGTTGTAAGGTATTGGCAGCCATCTAAATCACAAGTATACATACAGATTAACACAGAAAAAAAGCAAGCGGCCTGATCCTTCACCCCTCCACCTGTGGCCTCAGTAAGAAGACTCAAAACATTCATTTTATGTCAGTGACACAAATTAAAAATAATGTCAACGTGACTCTTACGTGACTGGTAGAGATGATCAGCAGCATCCGCCAGGCTGAAATCAGCATTTGATATTCTGTCAGGGAGGCACAGCTGGTACCCTCTGTCTCTGCCACATGATGTGCCAGTGACTTCACATATCCTGACCAGTAAGCAAAGCGCTTTTCGCTAGAGAATTTCCTCAAGGTATCTTTTAGGGACTGGTCCAGTGAGCCCCTGACAAAAAAAAAAAAAAAAAAAAAAAAAAAAA